ATATATATATATATATATATATATATATACTTATATAGAAAATATTACAAATTCGGCGCCCTTTTTTGCTATTTTCGCTCCCCCTACACCGAAAACCTGGATACGCCTCTGCATGAGGGTACCTGGGTTTTCGGAGGTGTGGAAAGAGGATCAGGCAAGTGTTTTTGTTAGAGGTTACGGACTGGACAGCTGCAAACTCTGGAGCCCATTATTCATAGTAAATCATATTCTCCCTGGAAATCACATAATCTCTGATGGTTGGGCCTCCTACAACAGTATTAGCAATTTGGAATAGCATCTACACTCAATCAGTGGTGGGTACATGAGCGCCATTTTGTTGACCCGGATGATGCTGACATCCATACTCATAGTATAGAAAATCTATGGATGAGGGCCAAACGGAAGCTGAAACGACAATTCGGAGCCAGGCAAATTCTATTTCCATCTTACTTGAAAGAATTTGTATTTTGTTGTTCTGTTGTAGGCAGGAATGTTTTCAGCTCATTCCTTTTGGTGCTGGCTAAAATGTATCCAGTCAAGTAGGTAATGTTTAAAGTTATCGAGTAGGCTACTTTTTACGATGCATGAAGATTACTAAATTTAAATATAACCCAAGTTTAACTTTAGGATTATCAATAAATTACGTCACACTACTGCAGTAAAGAGGGGGATTGAACTTTAGTCACATGTTAGGAGGAGATGGGACATCTACTTAAAAATTTTGACATCATTTACAGATGACCCCCCCCCCCCCCCCAAATAAAAAAATTGCCAACAATGTTGGAACTTCAAACTTAGTGTGATGTATGTTGATAGAGAAACAAATCTCTACGTTGTATGTAGCCTTTATAGACCTACTATATACATACAAACATAACACATACTTCCATAAGCTGCCAAAATATATCTTGTTTCTTCTAATACAGTATTCATTTATCCAGCATAAACTAAACAGTAAAAAAAATGTCCAAACTTTGTTTCTTATCCAGTTGTCAGCAGTCAGTATGCAGACATTTGTTCTGGACGTACCTGCAGTGAGTGTATTGCCCAAGACTACAGCTGTGCCTGGTGTAAACAAAAGGTATCATCTGATGTAGTAGGCCTACATTGTATTTTTTTATTTATTTTCTTTTTTCAAAGTCACAGTATTAAATCAATTTTTAAAATGTTAGCTTGGAAGTTTAGTGATATCATGAAAGGTAACATGTCTTTAAATGTATACAATAGAACTTTAGTTCTTCAAGATGTCAGCATGAGACACGCCTAGAGAATGCAGGATGTGACCCTCAGTTTATTGAAAAAACCATCACTACACAATCATTTATTAAGGTAAAATCTATTTATGTTCTTTCTAACCAAACTTTTGTGCCTTCACTTGCTTGTAACATACCACCCCTACCTCATGACACCTCCACAAACATGACCCCCCCCCCCCACCACAAAAATGAACATGACAGCCCCACAAAGATACCACCCCACAAACATGACACCCCCCCCCCCCACACACACACACACAAACATGACACCCCCACAAACATACCACCCCACAAACATGACACCCCCATCTTTGCAGTTTATACCCTACAGAGACAGTGGAATCAGTAATCCACAAACCACCTCCCACTTTGTGGATGTAATGTCTTAACCACAATCCCTTACAACCCCCCCCCCCCCCCTCCAATCAGCAGGCATGATCAAGCTTATGACACTCAAATGAAATGTATTGTATGAGTATACTGTTATTACTTTTAACAAAAGTGTTTTAGTCACTGTCTAACAGAATATACAATCAATGACCAAAACAAGTTATAAAATCATTGAATAGGGGTCTATAAATGACATGGCACTCCTAAGAGGAGGAACAGAATTTGGTGATAATATGTGATGATAGGGAGGAGGTACGTTAGAAAATATGACTTCAATCTAAAAGTTCTAAAAACACTGATTGAAACAAGTTATAACACACCCGAAAGTACACAAACAGTATTATAAAGAAAATCAAATACAAAGTAAGTTGGAGTGTGTTATTATTTTAATCAACAACACATCAGATAATTTTAAAACTGTTAACATGAAGGATTTTTTACCACTTGTAGATTTTAGATGAAAAATAAATCTGAACATCAAATTTTAAAACTAATAATTGCTGGTAGAATTGATTTTTTTAAAGAAAAACAAAAGTAATTTTTTATTAATGTTAAAACAAAGTCAAAACACCAACTTTAAAGAATAAATACTAAAACTGAGACAATATTTTGACTACATATTTTCCCTAGAAAAAAAAACTAATTTAAATTCATATGTGAGTGGTGGGTTAACCCTTAAAGCGCGCGCCACATGGCTTTACGCGTTATAAGTTATGTAACAGCAAAGCCACAATCGTGGCTTGGCGGGCTTTCAGGGTTAATAAAAGTAACAATAGCTGGCTAAAGATGGAGAGACTTCTCCATAACTAGGCACTGTCAGATTTAATGGCATAGTTTTTCTTTGTTCCCCCAATTTAGAATGAACCTGTGCGAGACAGTAACTCAACCAATCGGGATGCCATCCAAATTCAGCCACAAAAAGTTGCTCTCACTACCAGAATTAGTGAGTCAATTTCTATTTTTGTTGAAGGCTGAACAGCTAACACACTTATGTCTTTATTTTTTACTGCCAAAGTTATTGATTGCTTTTTGCTTTTAATCTATAACTGTTTTCATTACAGGAGAGGACAGAGTTATCCAATTGGTCTTCAGGGCTGCCAATAACTTCCCTGTTGATTTGTATTTTCTCTTTGACAACTCTCTCAGTATGGAAAAGCAAATTCAAACCCTGGGCACACTGGCAAACAATATTGGTAAAAAAAAAGTCTCTCTGATTATTAACTACAGTTTAGTTTGAATGTGCAGCTTAACAAATCTGCCAGGTCAAATGTTATAAATGTTGGCCAGATATTTTATTAACCTAACCAAGTTGATTTAATAAGCTTGCTTTGTCCCTCTGTTATGATTATAGCAGAAGGGGAATGACACGTTGAGATTAAAGAATGATTAAAGTGTCTTCAAGTTGCTTCTATTTGTGTTGCCAGGGCTGTCTATTAGAAATATCTCCAGTAACTTCACCATGGGATATGGGGTGTTTCAAGATAAAGTCATTCTTCCCTTCACAGACACAAGTCCGCTTAAGTAAGATTTCCTGCACATTTATGCTCTTGTGTTTATTGTTCCACTCATGTTGATCAAATTTTTTTTGTTTTAGAATTCTAACGTGTTTGTAAACTCTTGCGCTGCAAAAGCAGAATTTTTTTTTTTCAAGCTGGTTAAAAGAATGACCGTTTTTAAGGACTTGTCATCTTCACTTGTCCCATGTCTTATGTTGTCATCCCATCTTGTCATCTCATCTTGTCATCTCATCTTGTCATCTCATCTTGTCATCTCATCTTGTCATCCCATCTTGACATCCCATCTTGACATCCCATCTTGTCATCCCATCTTGTCATCTCATCTTGTCATCCCATCTTGTCATCTCATCTTGTCATCTCATCTTGTCATCTCATCTTGTCATCTCATCTTGTCATCCCATCTTGTCATCTCATCTTGTCATCCCATCTTGTCATCCCATCTTGTCATCTCATCTTGTCATCTCATCTTGTCATCTCATCTTGTCATCTCATCTTGTCATCTCATCTTGTCATCCCATCTTGTCATCTCATCTTGTCATCCCATCTTGTCATCTCATCTTGTCATCCCATCTTGTCATCTCATCTTGTCATCTCATCTTGTCATCTCATCTTGTCATCCCATCTTGTCATCTCATCTTGTCATCTCATCTTGTCATCTCATCTTGTCATCTCATCTTGTCATCCCATCTTGTCATCTCATCTTGTCATCCCATCTTGTCATCTCATCTTGTCATCCCATCTTGTCATCCCATCTTGTCATCTCATCTTGTCATCTCATCTTGTCATCTCATCTTGTCATCTCATCTTGTCATCTCATCTTGTCATCCCATCTTGTCATCTCATCTTGTCATCCCATCTTGTCATCTCATCTTGTCATCTCATCTTGTCATCTCATCTTGTCATCTCATCTTGTCATCCCATCTTGTCATCTCATCTTGTCATCTCATCTTGTCATCTCATCTTGTCATCTCATCTTGTCATCTCATCTTGTCATCCCATCTTGACATCCCATCTTGACATCTTGTCTAATCGTCATGTCAATCAATTAACTTATTGAACCACCACTACAACTTGCACAGGTTGCAGAATCCCTGTGTTGGAACAAGCAGGGGTCAGTGCGCTCCTCCATTTGAGTTCAAACATTTGCTGACTATGACTAATGATATCAAGCTATTTACAGTGAGTTATTGAATGTGTCAATATCAAACAATTTAAAGAGAGTTATTAAAGGTGTTGATATCAAATATTTTACATTGAGATGTTGCATGTATCAAAGGCATTAATAGTGAAACCAAATAGCTGTTAATTTTTATTTTCTACCAGAATGCAGTACAAAGCACTTCCTTAACTGGCAACTTGGATCACCCTGAAGGTTCTACAGATGCCATATTGCAAGCCGTTGCATGCCAGGTGAGATGGCTCATGAAGTACTTGAAGCAACTGTAAAATCCATCCTTTAAACATGTCAGCTATTTTTAAAAGTAGAGTTGGAATCTAACTGTTGACTTGATCTCATGTTTTAATTTCAGTTAGAATTGACATTTTGATTTATGTTTTATTTTCAGCAAGAAATTGGGTGGAGAAATAAGAGCCGTAAATTGTTGATTTTTGCATCAAATGATAGATTTCATTTAGCAGGTGATGGCAGGGTACGTGGACCATCACTTGTTGCACAAAATAAATGTTTGTTAATATGTCAGTAGATGCAATAGATTTATCTAAAATTGGACCATAACTTGTTGCACAAAATAAATGTGTTAGTAGATGCAATAGATTTATCTAAAATTGGACCATAACTTGTTGCAGAAAATAAATATGTTAGTAGATGTAATAGATTTATCTAAAATTGGACAGTTTAACACTAGTCATCACATCTGTCTTCACTGTTGAGAGATAGCTTGTGTATGATCTGTCATCACTGACAGCTTGTGTATTGTGTGTTCCAGCTAGCTGGCATTGTCCTGCCAAATGACGGCCATTGTCACTTGGATTCACAAAAGAGATATTCAAAAGAACTTGAGCAGGTAAAGAGAATGTCCATTGGCTTGACCTTGAACACATATTAAAATATTTATAGTTTTAGCATGATCTTTAACGCATTTTTAAAATATTTTTTCATTTGTTTAAGTTTAATGGAATTTTTTTTTAATAATTTAACATTGGTAGATCTATATATTTTCCTCATTAAAGTTATACAAGTGTTTAAAATATTTTGTTTATATAAATTCAAAATACAACTTTTCCATGTTATTCTTATGTGTCATAAAATAACACAGGTACTATGAGAATATGAATTAATTCAACTTTCCCCATCTAGGACTACCCATCTGTGAGTCAGCTATCCCACATTGTGAACAAGAATGATGTACACATCATTTTTGCTGTCACTGAAGCTCAGGAAAAACTTTTTAAAAGTTTTTCTGAGAGAATTCCTGACTCAATAGTGGAGATTTTACATGAATCTGGCGGGCCAACAAGCCAAAACATCAAAGATATTATTGAAAAAAAATACAAGGTAAACAGTTTGTCTTGACAGATTAACCCAGGCTTGACTGTTAAAAGCTCATCTATAAATAATGTCCTGCACTTCAGGAAAAGGGATTTAAACTATATTAATGATGTTCTATATGGGGGGGGGGGGGGGGGGTAGAGAAATGCCACTAGTATTTGTTATTTAAAAATTGTTAATTTCCTTAAAATTATAGTTATATAAGGAAATGGATGGAAATATGAGACATCATTGTAGAAGGGGTCTTGCTTAGGTTGATATTTGGGATAGGATATAAAACGGATGGAATTTATATGTCATTAATGGGTGACTTAAAATTAACTTAAACTCTTTCAACAAAGAGCATATAATTTGTCCATAGTCTAGACAGTTAGCAGTTGACCAATAGCAGGGGAGAGTATACATGCATATTTAACTGTCCTGTCCAAAGTCCTCTAGTAAGACTTTAGAAATCTGAAGGGAGACCAAATGCTTGCCATTGACATCTTTAGCACCAAATTTATACTTTAGAAATCAAATTTGACTTTCAGCAAGCTAAAGAGTGGTGTAATATGCCATCATTTGAAGGCTGTTGTAACAGTAACGTATAAGGATTAGAATCAGTATAGAGGACTGACCCTAGTGATAGTGCTGCTAACCTTTAGAGTGATAGGACCTAGTCAGTTTTTTTCCGCTTTGGTTTACACTAACCTATCCTCTGCACTTGTGGTCACTTTTTCCTAATCTTCATGGTCATTGGTCCTGTACAGCGACATTATGGTTCACATATGCAAAAAGTATTAATCTTGTGTTAGGATATGTTATATCTCTATAGAATGTGGTCAGAAAAACTGACTGCTCCCATTCAAATTAAACTGGGCAAGATTGTACAAATGTACAGAAATTAACTTTTATGAACTATAGACCTACTACAAAAATACTGCTTTATAAAATATAGAACTACTACAAAATTACTTCTTTATAAAATATAGAATTACTCCAAAACTACAGCTTTTATGAAATATAAATATCCAGTACAAATATCATTCCCTCAACAGGAAATGTTATCAGAAGTAGAAATCATGCACACATCAGTGGAAGGTATTGATGTCCAGGTTAGGGCAACAAGTCCTAAATGTGATCTGTGAGTTTTTTTAGGCTTATATTTTTTTTAAAAGATCAAGATTTAGGTTTTATTTTGCCAACAGTTACTTTCAATACTAATGCAATTGTCAAATATTAACTATATATGTTTAAAACTATTTGCATTATTTCATTTTTTCATCATAAATATATTTTAATTCTAGGCTGAAAAAATCTAAGTAACGTTTTAATATATATTTGGATAAAGAATAAAAATGTACCTTTCATTGACACATTATTTGTTATCATTGCTTTAAGTTTCTATAAACTTCAATATTTCAGTTCAACATATTCATAGATTAAGAAAGAATCTACGGATTATTCAATTATTTATTGCTGTTACATAGTCATTTTTGCTATTTTAAAAGTGTCAATACCATATTTTGCAGGTCAGAGAATCTTAACAAATGTAAAGGCATTAAAATTGGCGATGAGGTAAAGAAAATTTGAAATCCTTTTTTGTTGTTGGTCTGATATTACAGTGGGTTGTAGTCACTAAATATTCTGATCAATCAACTATTGGCATGCTAAGATTAAATTTGTGGATATTTAACAAAGAAATTATTAAAAGCATTTTAAAATTTCATTTCCATTTCTTTTCCCAAAATGTGTTTGATTTTTAAATTGTAAAACATCAAATGAAATATGAAGCTCTAAAGTTATAACTTTCCTGTAAGATTTAAACAGCATTTTATACAGTTTTATCAGTGGAAACTACCTCTTGTTCCCTAGGTGCTTCATTGCTAATTTGATAATAATTTTTTTTTAACAGATCACATTTGAGGTACACATCAAAGCTACGCAATGTCCTAAAGTCAAAGGTCAAAAAAAATTTATTGAATTTAACCCAAAGTCTTTGAAAAGTGACAAAATGATCCTGGAAATTGACATCATTTGTGATTGCCCATGTGACTCTGATAATTCAACTTGGGTAGGTAACTCTTTTTCTTTTTTTTTTAACCTTCTTGGGACGACCGGGCCAATCTATCGGCCGTCGGTTTTATAACCAAAAAGACGCGCAGCCGATCTATCGGCTGGGTGTCAGCCGTGATAGTAGAAGCCGCACAATTGGCTTTCTAGTAACATATCAGCCAATCAGATTGCTAACTATTTTAGTACATATCTAGCACTTCAATGGCAGCTTCCATTGAAAGTTTACTTATTTTTTTGTTTTTTATCTATTGTTTTTAGTGCCGTGAGTCCTATCGTAAATTTTCTTATGTCCAAAAGTCCAGTCATCAAAATATACTTAGAAATTCTAATGTAGAAATAATAATCAGTAAATTAGTACAGATTATTGAATAGATGTTTGTTGATTATTTAGATTAGCATTACAGAGAGAGAAAATGTGTTTTTATAAAAATTAATGTAATTTAGTTCAGTCAAATTTTTTTCGTGCATAAATTATGCAAATCAGAAAGCTTACATATAAATATGTTGAGATTTTTATTAGATTCATCAAAATCCTATTAGCTCATTCAATAATTAGTTTATTTTTTTCAAGTTTTTTGTGTGATACAAGTGCAAAACTTGAAAGTAGGCTCTGTCTTCTTAGCACCGGCTCTCTAATTTAGCTACGTCTTAAGAGGGTTAACAAGAGGATAAAACAAAGTTCAAGAACTGTTAAAAAAAATAGCACCTTGTATTATATATACATATCTTAGTGATGTCCCTTGAATGTCTAGTCTGTGTTTACTGTGTAGTTTATATCAGTGAGTTTACTATTAATAAAGTCTTGAGAGAAGATGTTATTTGAGCTGTATTCTCTATGTCTAATAAAGTATTGACATTAACTTGATGGTGTCTACTGTTATATTCCAAGTGCTAGAAAAAGAGCAATGTAACACCTAAACTAGATCTATGTATTTTGTAATATTGCTGCTGTTGCTCTATTTAGGAGTACAACAGTAAAGATTGCAGTAATGGAAATGGCACTTTAAAATGTGGCATGTGTGAGTGCCACAAGGATTACTTCGGTGCATTTTGTGAGTGTGACCAGAAAGGGCTGATCCTGGAAAACTCACCCTGCATAAAGTATGTCTGATTTTATCAACCTTTCAGATAGTTCAGTCTAACCTTAAACTCACCCTGCATAAAGTATGTCTGATTTTATCAACCTTTCAGATAGTTCAGTCTTTAATCTAACCTTAAACTCACCCTGCATAAAGTATGTCTGATTTTATCAACCTTTCAGATAGTTCAGTCTTTAATCTAACCTTAAACTCACCCTGCATAAAGTATGTCTGATTTTATCAACCTTTCAGATAGTTCAGTCTTTAATCTAACCTTAAACTCACCCTGCATAAAGTATGTCTGATTTTATCAACCTTTCAGATAGTTCAGTCTTTAATCTAACCTTAAACTCACCCTGCATAAAGTATGTCTGATTTTATCAACTTTTCAGATAGTTCAGTCTTTAATCTAACCTTAAACTCACCCTGCATAAAGTATGTCTGATTTTATCAACTTTTCAGATAGTTCAGTCTTTAATCTAACCTTAAACTCACCCTGCATAAAGTATGTCTGATTTTATCAACCTTTCACATAGTTCAGTCTTTAATCTAACCTTAAACTCACCCTGCATAAAGTATGTCTGATTTTATCAACTTTTCAGATAGTTCAGTCTTTAATCTAACCTTAAACTCACCCTGCATAAAGTATGTCTGATTTTATCAACCTTTCACATAGTTCAGTCTTTAATCTAACCTTAAACTCACCCTGCATAAAGTATGTCTGATTTTATCAACTTTTCAGATAGTTCAGTCTTTAATCTAACCTTAAACTCACCCTGCATAAAGTACGTCTGATTTTATCAACCTTTCAGATAGTTCAGTCTTTAGTCTAACCTTAAACTCACCCTGCATAAAGTATGTCTGATTTTATCAACCTTTCACATAGTTCAGTCTTTAATCTAACCTTAAACTCACCCTGCATAAAGTATGTCTGATTTTATCAACTTTTCAGATAGTTCAGTCTTTAATCTAACCTTAAACTCACCCTGCATAAAGTACGTCTGATTTTATCAACCTTTCAGATAGTTCAGTCTTTAGTCTAACCTTAAACTCACCCTGCATAAAGTATGTCTGATTTTATCAACTTTTCAGATAGTTCAGTCTTTAATCTAACCTTAAACTCACCCTGCATAAAGTATGTCTGATTTTATCAACTTTTCAGATAGTTCAGTCTTTAATCTAACCTTAAACTCACCCTGCATAAAGTATGTCTGATTTTATCAACTTTTCAGATAGTTCAGTCTTTAATCTAACCTTAAACTCACCCTGCATAAAGTATGTCTGATTTTATCAACCTTTCAGATAGTTCAGTCTTTAATCTAACCTTAAACTCACCCTGCATAAAGTATGTCTGATTTTATCAACTTTTCAGATAGTTCAGTCTTTAATCTAACCTTAAACTCACCCTGCATAAAGTATGTCTGATTTTATCAACTTTTCAGATAGTTCAGTCTTTAATCTAACCTTAAACTCACCCTGCATAAAGTATGTCTGATTTTATCAACTTTTCAGATAGTTCAGTCTTTAATCTAACCTTAAACTCACCCTGCATAAAGTATGTCTGATTTTATCAACCTTTCACATAGTTCAGTCTTTAATCTAACCTTAAACTCACCCTGCATAAAGTATGTCTGATTTTATCAACTTTTCAGATAGTTCAGTCTTTAATCTAACCTTAAACTCACCCTGCATAAAGTACGTCTGATTTTATCAACCTTTCAGATAGTTCAGTCTTTAGTCTAACCTTAAACTCACCCTGCATAAAGTATGTCTGATTTTATCAACTTTTCAGATAGTTCAGTCTTTAATCTAACCTTAAACTCACCCTGCATAAAGTATGTCTGATTTTATCAACTTTTCAGATAGTTCAGTCTTTAATCTAACCTTAAACTCACCCTGCATAAAGTATGTCTGATTTTATCAACTTTTCAGATAGTTCAGTCTTTAATCTAACCTTAAACTCACCCTGCATAAAGTATGTCTGATTTTATCAACCTTTCAGATAGTTCAGTCTTTAATCTAACCTTAAACTCACCCTGCATAAAGTATGTCTGATTTTATCAACTTTTCAGATAGTTCAGTCTTTAATCTAACCTTAAACTCACCCTGCATAAAGTATGTCTGATTTTATCAACTTTTCAGATAGTTCAGTCTTTAATCTAACCTTAAACTCACCCTGCATAAAGTATGTCTGATTTTATCAACTTTTCAGATAGTTCAGTCTTTAATCTAACCTTAAACTCACCCTGCATAAAGTATGTCTGATTTTATCAACCTTTCAGATAGTTCAGTCTTTAATCTAACCTTAAGCTCACCCTGCATAAAGTACGTCTGATTTTATCAACTTTTCAGATAGTTCAGTCTTTAATCTAACCTTAAACTCACCCTGCATAAAGTATGTCTGATTTTATCAACTTTTCAGATAGTTCAGTCTTTAATCTAACCTTAAACTCACCCTGCATAAAGTATGTCTGATTTTATCAACCTTTCAGATAGTTCAGTCTTTAATCTAACCTTAAACTCACCCTGTATAAAGTACGTCTGATTTTAACAACCTTTCAGATAGTTCAGTCTTTAGTCTAACCTTAAACTCACCCTGTATAAAGTACGTCTGATTTTATCAACTTTTCACATAGTTCAGTCTTTAATCTAACCTTAAATCAAATATGTTTGAGTTAACTTGAATTATTTTTAAAAAACGCAACATCTTAAACTATGACAATTTTTTTCTGATGAATCCCACATTAAAAGCATATAGAAAAGATCTTGCAGGCAGTAACGAACTCTTTAAATTTTAACGAGCATGTAAATTGTGTGGCAGACCAGGGGACAACTCCTCCCTCGAGTGCAGTGGACAAGGCAAGTGTGAGTGTAAGGTCTGCAAGTGTAATGATGACTACAGCGGGACTTACTGTGATTGTTACGACAAGGGCTGTGAACTTTATAACAAAGAAATATGTGGAGGTAGGCGTGGTTACTGTGATTGTTATATGTGGAGGTAGGTGTGGTTACTGTGATTGTTATATGTGGAGGTAGGTGTGGTTACTGTGATTGTTATATGTGGAGGTAGGTGTGGTTACTGTGATTGTTATATGTGGAGGTAGGTGTGGTTACTGTGATTGTTATATGTGGAGGTAGGTGTGGTTACTGTGATTGTTAGGAAAATATCAGTGGTGTGTGGTGGAATTGCCAACAAGTTGATAAACTGTAGTGACAATTTAAGCGCAATTTCTTTATGTTATCCATAACAATTTTAAATCGAGATAAATCATATATTCAGCAAATAAATAATGCAACACAAGTAGTTTTAATAATTCAAAACAAAATAGAAAAAATATTTATTAACGAGATTTTAAAAAATTTGCGGACATGTAGGGGGTATTTTATATATCTATCTCTATATTGCTATATAGTACTGTAGTGTATTATGTATAATGTAATATTTTTTAAAAATTTTATGACCGAACAAGCTGCGGTAAAGCTGCGGACACACATCCAGAAATGACGAATTAATAATCGCAATTCCAGTATGGAAATTGCCCTAAAAAGACATTAACAATGATGACATGTTATATACAAAGTTGTCAAAATTTAGTATTTTGGACTATTAGGGGAATCCCACGAACGCAGAAATATGTGGAGTTTGGTTTGTTTACTGTGACTGTAAAAACTGAATTGCAAAGAAATGTTATGCACAATTTTCCTAAGCTGTTCACATACTTTGTATAGACACATATTTTAAAATTTTGGTTATCTAAAAATTATTTATTGGACAACAAATGTGAGATTTCTGCCTACAGGACCCTCCCGTGGCAAATGTGTCTGTGGTCAGTGTCTTTGTCAGCCAGAGTTCTCAGGAAGTAACTGTGGATGTTCCAACTCAAACCAAACCTGTATGCTCAACAATGTAGGTTTCTCTGTCAGTCTTGTAAACAATGTAGGTATCTCTGTCAGTCTTGTAAACAATGTAGGTGTCTCTGTCAGTCTTGTAAACAATGTAGGTGTCTCTGTCAGTCTTGTAAACAATGTAGGTTTCTCTGTCAGTCTTGTAAACAATGTAGGTGTCTCTGTCCGTCTTGTAAACAATGTAGGTGTCTCTGTCAGTCTTGTAAACAATGTAGGTTTCTCTGTCAGTCTTGTAAACAATGTAGGTGTCTCTGTCAGTCTTGTAAACAATGTAGGTGTCTCTGTCAGTCTTGTAAACAATGTAGGTGTCTCTGTCAGTCTTGTAAACAATGTAGGTGTCACTGTCAGTCTTGTAAACAATGTAGGTGTCTCTGTCAGTCTAGTAAACAATGTAGGTGTCTCTGTCAGTCTTGTAAACAATGTAGGTGTCACTGTCAGTAAACAATGTAGGTGTCTCTGTCAGTAAACAATGTAGGTGTCTCTATCAGTCCTGTAAACAATGTAGGTGTCACTGTCAGTCTTGTAAACAATGTAGGTGTCTCTGTCAGTAAACAATGTAGGTGTCTCTGTCAGTAAACAATGTAGGTGTCTCTGTCAGTAAACAATGTAGGTGTCTCTATCAGTCCTGTAAACAATGTAGGTGTCACTGTCAGTCTTGTAAACAATGTAGGTGTCTCTGTCAGTAAACAATGTAGATGTCTCTGTCAGTAAACAACGTAGGTGTCTCTGTCAGTAAACAATGTAAAAATTTCCATTTGATTGTATCAGAAAACAATGTAAAAACTTCCATTTGATTGTACCAGTAAACAATGTAAAAACTTCCATTTGATTGTACCAGAAAACAATGTAAAAACTTCCATTTGATTGTACCAGAAAACAATGTAAAAACTTCCATTTGATTGTACCAGTAAACAATGTAAAAACTTCCATTTGATTGTACCAGTAAACAATGTAAAACCTTCCATTTGATTGTACCAGAAAACAATGTAAAAATTTCCATTTGATTGTACCAGAAAACAATGTAAAAACTTCCATTTGATTGTACCAGAAAACAATGTAAAAACTTCCATTTGATTGTACCAGAAAATGTGCAGTGATGCAGGAGACTGTGTCTGTGGTGGCTGTGATTGCAAAAAAGGCTACACTGGACTTTTTTGTGAAAACTGTTTTGTAAGTACACATATCTTAACTGTCTGACTGCAAGTGAAATATTCAGTGGTTTGTTTTATTTAATGCTTTAAAGAACTACTTGAAACAAGCAATGATTGTATTGTTATATATTTGCTCCCAGCAAATTTTATTCACTATAGATATATGGTTTCTGCCCTAGACATGTGGCAGCTTTAACATTGACTCACTATTTCCCTTCAGTTGTGTGGGGACACAGTGTGTGTGTGTGACATTAACATTGACTCAACATTTCCCTTCAGTTGTGTTAGGACAGTGTGTGTGTGACATTAACATTGACTCACTATTTCCCTTCAGTTGTGTGGGGACACAGTGTGTGTCTGTGTGACATTAACATTGACTCACTATTTCCCTTCAGTTGTGTGGGGACAGTGTGTGTGTGACATTAACATTGACTCACTATTTCCCTTCAGTTGTGTGGGGACAGTGTGTGTGTGTGACATTAACATTGACTCACTATTTCCCTTCAGTTGTGTGGGGACAGTGTGTGTCTGTGTGACATTAACATTGACTCACTATTTCCCTTCAGTTGTGTGGGGACACTGTGTGTGTGACATTAACATTGACTCACTATTTCCCTTCAGTTGTGTGGGGACACTGTGTGTGTGACATTAACATTGACTCACTATTTCCCTTCAGTTGTGTGGGGACAGTGTGTGTCTGTGTGACATTAACATTGACTCACTATTTCCCTTCAGTTATGTGGGGACAGTGTGTGTGTGTGTGACATTAACATTGACTCACTATTTCCCTTCAGTTGTGTGGGGACACTGTGTGTGTCTGTGTGACATTAACATTGACTCACTATTTCCCTTCAGTTGTGTGGGGACACTGTGTGTGTGACATTAACATTGACTCACTATTTCCCTTCAGTTGTGTGGGGACAGTGTGTGTCTGTGTGACATTAACATTGACTCACTATTTCCCTTCAGTTGTGTGGGGACACTGTGTGTGTGACATTAACATTGACTCACTATTTCCCTACAGTTGTGTGGGGACAGTGTGTGTCTGTGTGACATTAACATTGACTCACTATTTCCCTTCAGTTGTGTGGGGACAGTGTGTGTCTGTGTGACATTAACATTGACTCACTATTTCCCTTCAGTTGTGTGGGGACAGTGTGTGTCTGTGTGACATTAACATTGACTCACTATTTCCCTTCAGTTGTGTGGGGACACTGTGTGTGTCTGTGTGACATTAACATTGACTCACTATTTCCCTTCAGTTGTGTGGGGACACTGTGTGTGTGACATTAACATTGACTCACTATTTCCCTTCAGTTGTGTGGGGACAGTGTGTGTCTGTGTGACATTAACATTGACTCACTATTTCCCTTCAGTTGTGTGGGGACACTGTGTGTGTGACATTAACATTGACTCACTATTTCCCTTCAGTTGTGTGGGGACAGTGTGTGTCTGTGTGACATTAACATTGACTCACTATTTCCCTTCAGTTGTGTGGGGACACTGTGTGTGTGACATTAACATTGACTCACTATTTCCCTTCAGTTGTGTGGGGACAGTGTGTGTCTGTGTGACATTAACATTGACTCACTATTTCCCTTCAGTTGTGTGGGGACAGTGTGTGTGTGTGTGACATTAACATTGACTCACTATTTCCCTTCAGTTGTGTGGGGACACTGTGTGTGACATTAACATTGACTCACTATTTCCCTTCAGTTGTGTGGGGACACAGTGTGTGAGACGCTGTGTGTGACATTAACATTGACTCACTATTTTCCTTCAGTTATGTGGGGACAGTGTGTGTCTGTGTGACATTAACATTGACTCACTATTTCCCTTCAGTTGTGTGGGGACAGTGTGTGTCTGTGTGACATTAACATTGACTCACTATTTCCCTTCAGTTGTGTGGGGACACAGTGTGTGTGACATTAACATTGACTCACTATTTCCCTTCAGTTGTGTGGGGACAGTGTGTGTCTGTGTGACATTAACATTGACTCACTATTTCCCTTCAGTTGTGTGGGGACACAGTGTGTGTGACATTAACATTGACTCACTATTTCCCTTCAGTTGTGTGGGGACAGTGTGTGTCTGTGTGACATTAACATTGACTCACTATTTCCCTTCAATTGTGTGGGGACTGTGTGTGTGTGACATTAACATTGACCCACTATTTCCCTTCAGTTGTGTGGGGACAGTGTGTGTATGTGTGACATTAACATTGACTCACTATTTCCCTTCAGTTGTGTGGGGACACTGTGTGTGTGACATTAACATTGACTCACTATTTCCCTTCAGTTGTGTGGGGACACAGTGTGTGTCTGTGTGACATTAACATTGACTCACTATTTCCCTTCAGGTGTGTGGGGACAGTGTGTGTCTGTGTGACATTAACATTGACTCACTATTTCCCTTCAGTTATGTGGGGACAGTGTGTGTGTGTGTGACATTAACATTGACTCACTATTTCCCTTCAGTTGTGTGGGGACACTGTGTGTGTCTGTGTGACATTAACATTGACTCACTATTTCCCTTCAGTTGTGTGGGGACACTGTGTGTGTGACATTAACATTGACTCACTATTTCCCTTCAGTTGTGTGGGGACAGTGTGTGTCTGTGTGACATTAACATTGACTCACTATTTCCCTTCAGTTGTGTGGGGACACTGTGTGTGTGACATTAACATTGACTCACTATTTCCCTACAGTTGTGTGGGGACAGTGTGTGTCTGTGTGACATTAACATTGACTCACTATTTCCCTTCAGTTGTGTGGGGACAGTGTGTGTCTGTGTGACATTAACATTGACTCACTATTTCCCTTCAGTTGTGTGGGGACAGTGTGTGTCTGTGTGACATTAACATTGACTCACTATTTCCCTTCAGTTGTGTGGGGACACTGTGTGTGTCTGTGTGACATTAACATTGACTCACTATTTCCCTTCAGTTGTGTGGGGACACTGTGTGTGTGACATTAACATTGACTCACTATTTCCCTTCAGTTGTGTGGGGACAGTGTGTGTCTGTGTGACATTAACATTGACTCACTATTTCCCTTCAGTTGTGTGGGGACACTGTGTGTGTGACATTAACATTGACTCACTATTTCCCTTCAGTTGTGTGGGGACAGTGTGTGTCTGTGTGACATTAACATTGACTCACTATTTCCCTTCAGTTGTGTGGGGACACTGTGTGTGTGACATTAACATTGACTCACTATTTCCCTTCAGTTGTGTGGGGACAGTGTGTGTCTGTGTGACATTAACATTGACTCACTATTTCCCTTCAGTTGTGTGGGGACAGTGTGTGTGTGTGACATTAACATTGACTCACTATTTCCCTTCAGTTGTGTGGGGACACTGTGTGTGACATTAACATTGACTCACTATTTCCCTTCAGTTGTGTGGGGACACAGTGTGTGAGACGCTGTGTGTGACATTAACATTGACTCACTATTTTCCTTCAGTTATGTGGGGACAGTGTGTGTCTGTGTGACATTAACATTGACTCACTATTTCCCTTCAGTTGTGTGGGGACAGTGTGTGTCTGTGTGACATTAACATTGACTCACTATTTCCCTTCAGTTGTGTGGGGACACAGTGTGTGTGACATTAACATTGACTCACTATTTCCCTTCAGTTGTGTGGGGACAGTGTGTGTCTGTGTGACATTAACATTGACTCACTATTTCCCTTCAGTTGTGTGGGGACACAGTGTGTGTGACATTAACATTGACTCACTATTTCCCTTCAGTTGTGTGGGGACAGTGTGTGTGTGTGACATTAACATTGACTCACTATTTCCCTTCAGTTGTGTGGGGACAGTGTGTGTCTGTGTGACATTAACATTGACCCACTATTTCCCTTCAGTTGTGTGGGGACAGTGTGTGTATGTGTGACATTAACATTGACTCACTATTTCCCTTCAGTTGTGTGGGGACACTGTGTGTGTGACATTAACATTGACTCACTATTTCCCTTCAGTTGTGTGGGGACACAGTGTGTGTCTGTGTGACATTAACATTGACTCACTATTTCCCTTCAGTTGTGTGGGGACAGTGTGTGTATGTGTGACATTAACATTGACTCACTATTTCCCTTCAGTTATGTGGGGACAGTGTGTGTGTGTGTGACATTAACATTGACTCACTATTTCCCTTCAGTTGTGTGGGGACACTGTGTGTGTCTGTGTGACATTAACATTGACTCACTATTTCCCTTCAGTTGTGTGGGGACACTGTGTGTGTGACATTAACATTGACTCACTATTTCCCTTCAGTTGTGTGGGGACAGTGTGTGTCTGTGTGACATTAACATTGACTCACTATTTCCCTTCAGTTGTGTGGGGACACTGTGTGTGTGACATTAACATTGACTCACTATTTCCCTACAGTTGTGTGGGGACAGTGTGTGTCTGTGTGACATTAACATTGACTCACTATTTCCCTTCAGTTGTGTGGGGACAGTGTGTGTCTGTGTGACATTAACATTGACTCACTATTTCCCTTCAGTTGTGTGGGGACAGTGTGTGTCTGTGTGACATTAACATTGACTCACTATTTCCCTTCAGTTGTGTGGGGACACTGTGTGTGTGACATTAACATTGACTCACTATTTCCCTTCAGTTGTGTGGGGACAGTGTGTGTCTGTGTGACATTAACATTGACTCACTATTTCCCTTCAGTTGTGTGGGGACACTGTGTGTGTGACATTAACATTGACTCACTATTTCCCTTCAGTTGTGTGGGGACAGTGTGTGTCTGTGTGACATTAACATTGACTCACTATTTCCCTTCAGTTGTGTGGGGACACTGTGTGTGTGACATTAACATTGACTCACTATTTCCCTTCAGTTGTGTGGGGACAGTGTGTGTCTGTGTGACATTAACATTGACTCACTATTTCCCTTCAGTTGTGTGGGGACAGTGTGTGTGTGTGACATTAACATTGACTCACTATTTCCCTTCAGTTGTGTGGGGACACTGTGTGTGACATTAACATTGACTCACTATTTCCCTTCAG